GTGCATTTTAATTTTTTTCTTCATGTATATCAAACACATAGGAAATATGTTTCTTTCCAGTTACTGGTTTTAGATTCAATGACACCAGAGAGACATTTCAGAAAATACTATAACAGAATTCAAGAGACTGCTAGGTCTTTGACCACCATTATCTCTGAACCATGATTGTGCCTAGACCTTCCAATGCTTGCATTTTAACTTAACCTCCAGAGGCTACATAGAAACCATTTTTCACATAGTGCTAAACAAGAAGACTCAAATACAATATTTTCTTTCTTACTTTTAATAAAGTTACTATAAAATTTAAGAAGAAAATAAAACATTTTGCTCCTTTATAATGTGCTTAATGAAATGATTATTTGTGACTATTAGATAGCATTTTATGTGAATAGTTTTTCACAGACAATACTGCCCAAAGTTATAAAGGTTCAGATAAGAACATATATGATTTGGAAAGAACTTGGCCCCATCTGTGTTAACCGCAAAGTCTTCCTGGGATTAATGCTGAATAGTTATTATGGTAATGATCTTTCTCTATATAAATCTAAGTTAATTAGGTATATAGCAGATGACAATAAAATAATCATGGTAACATTAAAGCATTAGCAGGTTTATCTAGGAAAAAATTAACTGCTTTGCAGCTAACAAAATAAGAATAGCCAGATATTTTTACATGCTTACTATGTAAGTATTTTTCTGAGTGCTATACATGCTTTAAATCATTTAATCTTCAGAATAATTCCATGAGATAGTAGTCATGTCATCTCCGCTTAACAAGTAAGGAAAATGAAATAAAGGGGAATTAAGTAGCAAGTCTGAGTACACATAGCTAGTATGAAAGAGCCCAGTTTTGAATTTAGGCAGATAATTCCAAGATTCACACTCTTAACCACTTACTATTCTGACTCTGAAAAAGAAAACCCATCATATTCTTTATTTGAACCAGATCTTCAAATTAACTTGACAGAATACATCTCCAAACTGAGGATGAGTACCACCTGTCTTATGCTACAGACATGACTTTAACTTTGAACATGACAGTCTAACCTAGGTAGATTTTTCTAGCACTGTTAAGATGTTCTGTATTTCAAAATGTAGAAGAGAAATAAAGCAATTGTAGAGGAATAGAGGGAATAAGGAAAGATGGATGAATCACCTTCCAAAATTTCTTCCCATGCAAGTTTTTGACTAAGCCTCTGCAGTCAGTAAAACTCAGATGAATATAGTCAACATGCCAAAGCAATTTTGTGTAACTTTTAAAAATTGGCTTCAACTTTTATCATTTCCAGTTTCTCCATTCCCACTTTTATTAAACTGCCTCAAATGTATATAAATTTAGCGTGTATAATATTATACAATTATGCAAATTATGAATAAATAGCAAATCCCTAATTTGCTCTATAACATCCATTTCTCATTCTAAAATCCTTATTTGAGAATTCCAAAAGACTTTTATTGTTTAAAAGATACATCTGAACATACTTTTAAAGGTTTTTGACCGGGTCCTGGATCTTTATAGGATAAAGTCTATATCTATTGACATGGCATAGAAGGATTCTCAGCAGCTCTCAAATGGCAAATGGGTCCCCTTTGATGGTGATGACATCCAGCTGGAGTTTGTCTGCATTGACCCTTTTGTGAGAACCCTCTTGAAGAAGAAGGTGGCAAATACAGTGTTCAGTTCAAGTTGCCTGATGTGTATGGTGTGTTCCTGTTTAAAGTGGATTACAACTGGCTGGGCTACACACACCTGTACTCTTCCACGCAGGTGTCAGTGAGGCCACTGCAGCACACGCACGCAGTATGAGTGCTTCATCCCCTTGGCCTACCCCTACCCCTACTGCATCAGCGCCTTCTCCATGTTGCTGGGGCTGCTCATCTTCAGCATCGTCTTCTTGCACATGAAGGAGAAGGAGAAGTCTGACTGAGGGCCCACACCCTGGACTCCTTGCAACATGGAGATGGGGGATTTTCGTAAGACTTGGTGGTTTTGTTTTGTTTTTTAAAACCGTGGAAAAATGGCACAGCCTTACCTCCAGGGGAGATGCAGCACTGAGTTCCAAGGGGTGGGGGTCAGGGAATAATTTTTATCTAAGTTTTCCCACCTTGAATTGCTACGAGGCATTTTTCATATGTGCAGTCACACTCATTTCTAAAATAAAGAGAACATTTCCCTCAAACTTCAAAAAAAAAATAAATAAATATTGAAAAGAGCAAAAGACTCCTACTTCCAGCCAATGTGGAGTAACAGGGACATAACCTACCATTCTTTACAAAACATCCCTTATTAAAAAAAAAAAAAACAAACAAAAAAACAGAAAAAATACAAAACTACAATATTCATGATGCTTCACACCAGACAATGAAGGGTTCTGTCTCTGGTAGTTGAGAAAAAAACTAGGTAAGCCCCAGAATTGTTTCAGTTTATTGCTTGGAGAGATATTACAGGCTATTGTACCATGAGGAACAATCTAGACTGAGTCTAGTGCTTCTCTGAGTTTAGAAGAATGAGTTGGTAATATGCTGGTAATATGGATAGGAAAAGCTGGCTAGAATTTGCAGGGGAAAGTGTCAGAGAGAAAGAGAGAGAGAGAGAGAGAATATTTGGAAACATAAAGTTCCCTAAAATCTTCAGCTAAGTACTTATCATGCATACTTAGGAAGTAACCACAAGAGACGAGGAGAAAAAAAAAACAGCCAAAAGAATTAGAAGAAACAATAAGGAGAGCTCACGCTGAGCCAGGAATAGTGCCATCAGGTAGAGTAGAAACAGAATTTATGAAACATTGGGCACATGGGTAGGGTACAAAGAAAGAGATTGCTTCATAGGTGAGGTGAAATTAACTATAGACTAAAATCTTCTCTGGTCCTGCCTAAAACAGTCTTAAAAATGAAAGCAAAAAGGATCAAATTATTTCCACATAAATTAACTGCTCAAGAATATATGTAGAAGTACAAAAATATCTATCCCCAAAGAAGGTAAAATTAGCAGTGGCTGCCATCCAATACAAAATTGTCAGGTATAAAAAGAAACAGGAAAATACAATATGTATGAGAAGAAAAATTAACCAATTGAAACTGACCCTGAAAAAATGCAGAGGATAGAATTAATGAAGCCAGCACAATAGTTATTAAACTTTATCCCATAAATCAAAGAGGATAAATAAAACATATTAAGTAGGGAAGTAGAATATACTGGAAAGATCTAATTCAGAGTTCTAGAATTGAAAGCAATGTCTGAAATAAAAAATATACTGAATAAAATTAAAAGTAGTTTTTTTCTTAAATCCTTCATTTATGTTTATAACATTCATTAGTTTAATACAGGAAAATAGAAAGAAAACAAATGAGCTCTAATCTTACTGCCCAAGAATTTCTCTTGACATCATTTTTGGAAATTTTATCCCAGCTTAATGCATGTACAGAAAAGTGTACAAATCAGAAG